TACTGCTACTACTGCTACTACTGCTACTATTGCTACTGCTTCTGCTACAGCTACAACTACTGCTACTGCTACTGCTACTCCTATTTCTACTGCTACTCCTACTGCTACTGCTACTGCTACTACTATTCCTACTACTACTGCTACTGTTACTCCTACTGCTACTGCTACTCCTACTGCTACTCCTACTGCTACTGCTACTCCTACTCCTACTGCTACTGCTACTACTACTGCTACTACTGCTGCTATTGCTACTACTGCTGTTGCTACTGCTACTGCTACTACTGCTACTGTTGCTGTTGTTGCTACTGCTACTGTGGCTGATGCTGATGCTGCTACTGCTACTGCTACTGCTACTGGTGCTGCTACTACTGCTACTGCTGCTACTACTGCTACTACTGCTACTGCTGCTACTGCTGCTACTACTACTACTACTGCTGCTATGCCGCTGCTGCTACTGCTACTGCTACTGCTGCCGCTGCCACTACTGCTACTGCTACTGCTACTGCTGCTACTCTGCTACTACTATTACTACTACTGCTACTACTGCTACTACTGCTGCTGCTACTGCTCCTACTGCTACTGCTGCTACTGCTGCTACTGCTCTTACTGCTAATGCCACTGCTGCTATGGCTACTGCTACTGCTGCTGTTGCTGCCGCCGCCGCTGCCGCTACTGCTACTGCTACTGCTACTACTGCTACTACTGCTTCTGCTGCTGCTGCCGCTATTGCTGCTACCGCTCCTCCTCCTGCCGCTGCTGCCGCTGCCGCCTGCTGCTGCTGCTGCTAGTGCTGCTGCTACTTCCTAAAAACAAAAACAAACTCGTTGGGATGAGTCACCCGGTTCAAACAAATACTACCTTTGGAAAGAACCATGGCCTTAAGAAAACCAAAGGCTTATTATCTACAAAAGTATAAAAGAAGCTACTGACGAGCTAAAAACACAATACAAAATTATGCTCGCTAGTCGAATATAGTATAGAAAATATCGTATCCACAAGGATTGGATTTGAACAGTGTTTTTGTAGCTTCTAGTTTTAATTGCTATCCAAGATGATCAACAATTTAGAGTTGTGTGATTCAAAACTAAAATTTACTAAAAGTCTAAACTATTGGCTAATGACAATCGCAACAAGAGTTATCAAGAAGATATCAAAGGGAGAAAATAGGGGTTGATTGGATAGGTGTAAGATACTTGTTTGTGAATTAACTATAGTTACTTCACTTCTATGGTTCAAGTGAGTCTCTCGAATTCACTCTATTATGTTCAAACATTCAGCAGAAACTCCTCTCTTGATTAAGTCTCAACCTTAAAATGTGAACTAAGTTATGCTTGCTGAAGATATGCAAGAATTCGTAGTGGATTGATCCTTAGGAGAACCTCTTTCGATTATCCTCCTAACTAGGTCTAAACATTAATTCAACTAGCCTATTTTGATTACTAACAAGAATCAATAAATTCAACCAATAAGATAATGCAAAACATCACAAATTATGCCTCTTTCGATTACATAAACAAGTGAATATACATGCAACAATAAAAATACCCAAAACATTTCAATACATAAAACTAGAGTTAATATCCACAAACAATTCTCAAAACACCAAATCCATCAATCCCTAAGGAAGAATTACCCTGTGGATATGGAAAAATTCATCACAATTAAGTTTAAGTCAAAGGAAAACATAAAACATCCAAACCCTTATCTTGAGTGAGGATGAATGGTGAAATCCTTGTGCTCTTGCTTCTCCCTATTATCCTTAGTTTTCTTAGGTCTACATTATGTCAAAAGTCCTCAAAAAATCGTTTTTCCATGTATATATACCAAGTAGGGTCAGGACCAAATAAATACACCTTCTCCTACGTGAAATAGGACACTTTTTCGGAGTTTGCCGTGCGCGGCAGCGCACTTGGCCGCGCACTTTTCACCCTGTTCTGCCTCATCTGCGCGCCCAATGCGCGACCAGTGCGCGACCACGCACATGGGTGGCGTTCTGTTGGGACTTTGGGAAAATGTAAACCATTATGGTTGTATCCCATTTAAATAGCTTTGCAACGATATATATTGGAGCCCAAACGGAGTTCTGAGCAAAATGTTATGTGCAGTTTACTGGACACTACGCAATATGCCTACTCGATTCTTCGTTTCGTTCCACTATCATCCGTTGATCCCTGAACAGGATCCCGACTTAATCCTTGGGCTTTTACTTAGACTTCAAAGCTCCCGACTAGCTTGAATTCATTCCATAACATCTACATAGATCGGAATCACTCCTACAAGGAATAAAATACCCAATTAATGCAAAACACTAGCGATTAAAGCTCCAACTCAATTAAATTACAGTAAATTAAACTGCGATAAGCGACTAAAATATGAGATTATAGCCTACCATCAACACCCCACACATAAACCATTGCTCGTCCTGGAGCAATTAAACTAAACTTCATAATGAGATTACCTTTTTAAACAACTCTCATAACTCATCATACTAAGAATATTTAAAATAGACTAAGCACAATAGTGTAGTCATTACCTTTCCTTCATGAATAAAGTGCCCTCACACAACAAAAGAGAGTAGTTCCACACACCATAAAAATTTAGAACAATCAAGAATTCAAGATAGAAAGAATTCACTCACTCTCTGAGTTACCACTCAACAAAGATCATTTTTCACAATTATACACCTACATAAATTTTTCTTTTTCTTTTTCAATTCAAGTGGCTCTTACTTTTTCAATTCAGTGCACATTCTCCTTATTTCATTAGTTCCACTCAAAAGCCAACCCAATTACCCCACACTTCAACTTTTGCAAAGTTCATAAAATTTCAAGTGCTCAAGATAGGTAAATAGTTCAAATAAATGGTCAATTCAAACTAATGGGTAATGCTTGTAATGTGGTTGCCAAAACAAAAAAAAATAGGATTACAGGCTCAAAAGGGTTAACTACGATACATAACAATTAGGTGGGTAAAACATATAACTGGCTCAACAAAGAAATGCCTATATCACTTTCAAGACTGAATAAAACTACTATTTCGCTTTGCAAACACACGGGGCAAGTTCTAGACATCAAATGCAATGCAAAAAATAACACAAAACCTCAGATACATGGCACATAACTCACTCAAGATTGGATTCATCAAGACACTTTAGTCAAAGCAGTTAAGCAAAGTTAAGATTATACAATTAAAGGTACTTACACAATAGTCAAAACCTAAGCCTAAGCGTCACAACTAAAGCACTCACTATTCTCAAGGCATAACAAAGTCAAGAGATATTGCTTCCATTTCAAACCATAGCACAAGGTTTCCTACTCCTAACAAAAATAAAAACTAACTACACCCGGTTCAAACAAAACCCTTGGAAAAGAACCGCGGCACAAAGAAAAACCAAGGGGTAATTAATACACTAACAACAAAAGAAAATCTTTTTGTCTTTTTCTTTCAATAAAAATCCTTCAAGAAACCAGTAGAATGATATCCATCGTCGGGAAAAATCAAAAAGTTTCAAATTTTTATGTTGTTTTTCAATTTTTTCTATCTCTAACTACTAAAATTAATAAAAACTAAAATACATATACATACAACATACAAATATCCCCCTACCCCACACTTTTAAGTTGTGGCATGTCGCCATGACACACAATTAAAAAGTATAAGGTAAAGGAAACTTTCCTGAATTTTTAGTCGGGTCTGAGTTGAAGTCGGGCTCCATTCCATTCGCCCGAACTAGTACAAACATCCATGCGGACAACTTCTTCTCAGCCTTCTTGGGGTACCCCCACACTTATCTTTATCAATCACTGGAGCCTACTCTCTTGAACTCTTTAGCTTCTACTTAACACTTGCAGCTGGCTTCTCCTTTTTCACTCCAATTGCTACATTCATCTCAAAAGTCACCATTTCTTCACCCACTCTAAGTATGAGTTTTCTATCATGTATATCCAGTATAGTTCTACCCGTTGCTAAAAATGGTCTTCCTAGGATGAGGGGGACCTATTTGTTCTCCTCCATATTCACCACTATGAAATCTACAGGAAATATGAACTTATCGTAAAACTCCCTAGATTTCCATACTTTTGTGTGAGTTTGTTTTGCAATATTGCATTTCAATGCTCTGTAAGTTTGACCACTAAGGTCTCTTCTATCTTCCTCTTCTTTGTAAGGATCTCCTTCATGAACTTTGCGTAAGCTGGCATTTGTGAGAGAACTTCTATGAATGCCAAATTTACATTAACCTGTCTCAACATATCTAGAAATCTCTCAAACTGCTTATCCAGCTTTTCTCTATAGAGCTTTTGGGGAAAAGGTAAAGCAGGCATGTGCTAGCTCTCTTCATTGGATTCCTCCCTTCTTGAAGTTTCCTCCTTTTTCTTTTTTTCAGCTCCCTTCTTCCCTTTTTTCTTCTTAGTCTTTTTATCACCATCTTCAATTTTCAGCTCCTTCCTAGTTTCTTTTTCAGGCGCAACTTCTTTGTGAATTGGAGTGGGATCTTTCAAAAATTGTCCACTTCTCAAGGTCACAACATCTACCGTTTATTTGGGATTCTTTTTAGTATTAGCTGGCAGAGTACCTGGGATTCTCTCAGATAATATAGTTGCAATTTGTCTCACTTGTCTCTCCAAACTTCGCAAATATGTCCCAATCTTGACAATGAATGACTTAATCAGATCTTCTAACCCAAACTGAATTGGTTGTTGAGGCTAAAACTACGGCCTCTACTGATTCAAAAAACTAGAAGCACCTTGAAATCTGGAGTTATTTGGTTGCCATGCATTTGCTGTACAACCAGGTAAAATCCATGAAAAACCGGGGTGCTTCTGACCCATTGCATTGAAGTTGTAATTACCAACAACATTAACTTCCTCGATCGAGGCTTGACACTCATGAGTAAGGTGTCCTCTTCCACATATATCACATGCTGCAAGAGGCTTACTGTGTATTAAAGCTAAAGTTAGCTTCCTTATTTCCTTTACCGTGGCATCAAGTTGAACCTGCACTTATGTGTTAGCGTCAACTTGGAGAACACCAGTCGTTCTTCTTCTTTCAGCAACTTCAGAGGGCCACTGATTTGCATCCTCAGACAACTCATCTAGAATAATGACTATCTCCTCTGAAGTCTTTTTCATCAACGGACCTCCAGCTGCGTTGCTCAATGTTCTGCATGAAGTTGATGTCAATCCATCCCAAAAATCTTGGAGTTGCATCCAGAGTTCTATTCCACTATACTGACACTTACGTACTATTTCTTTGAACCTCTCCCAAGCTTCAAACACTGTTTCAGTCTCATTCTAATAGAAGTTGTGGATTTCCCTTCTGAACTTGCCTATCTTAGCTGATGAGAAATATTTGTCTAGAAATGTTCTGGTCATCTCATCCCATATTCTAATCGATCCATTAGGAAAGCTTCGAAGCCAGTGCTTTGCATCGTCTTTGAGAGTGAAGGGGTATGCTCTTAAATATACTGCATCTTGTGACACACCATTATATTAGAAGGTGTTCATAATCTCCTCGAAGTCCATCAGCTGATTGTTTCGATCTTCATTCATCTTTACTCTAAAGACACAACTGTTTTGGAGGGTTTGAAGTAACCCCTGCTTTATCTCAAAATTATTAGCTACAACAGTAGGTGGTCTCACACTCGATAAGCCTGGGTTGTAGACTGGTCTAGCATAATCACCAAGTGGTATTCCGGCACTGGGAGCTATATTTCCGAATTGGTCTGCACCCACGGGTCGATTTTGTGCAATTCTTTGAGCCCAACCTTCTCTGTATTCGCAGGGAGATTTATTTCTTTCCTCAGATGTCCCAGTTGCTTTTCATTTTTCGGCTCGTATGGATGCAATTCCTTCCCAGAAGATCGGGTCATGCACTAATCTAACCTGTAGCCTGCGCACAGTCAAGGAACACCAAACGTAAAAAGCAAAAAACAAACTAAAAATAAAAATTCCTGAATTAGTACTACAAACTATTTCCAACACTATTGATTGCCAATCCCCGGCAACGGCGCCAAAATTTGACGAGCTAAAAACACAACACAAAATTATGCTTGCTAGTCGAATATAGTATAGAAAACATCGTATCCACAGGGATTGGATTTGAATAGTGTTTTCGTAGCTTCTAGTTTTAATTGTTATCCAAGATGATCAACAATTTAGAGTTTTGTGATTTGAAACTAAATTTACTAAAAGTCTAAACTATTGGGTAATGACAATCGTAACAAGAGTAAGCAAGAAAATATCAAAGGGAGAAAATAGGAGTTGATTGGATAGGTGTAAGATACTTGTTTGAGAATTAACTCTAGTTTCTTCACTTCTATGGTTCAAGTGAGTCTCTCAAATTCACTCTATTATGTTCAAACATTCAGTAGAAACTCCTCTCTTGATTAAGTCTCAACCTTAGGATGTGAACTAAGTTAAGCTTGGTGAAGATATGCGAGAATTCGTAGTGGATTGATCCTTAGGAGAACCTATTTCGATTATCCTCCTAACTAGGTCTAAACATTATTTCAACTAGCCTCTTCTAATTACTAACAATAATCAAGGAATTCAACTAATAAGATAATGCAAAACATCACAAATTATGCCTCTTTCGATTACATAAACAAGTGAATATATATGCAACAATAAAAATACCCAAAACGCTTTAATGCATAAAACTAAAATTAATATCCACAACCAATTCTCAAAACACCAAATCCATCAATCCCTAAGGAAGAATTACTCCATGGATATGGAAAAATTCATCACAATTTAGTTGAAGTCAAGGGAAAACATAAAACATCCCAACCCTTGTCTTGAGTGAGGATGAATGGTGAAATCCTTGTGCTCTTGCTTCTCCCTCTTCTCCTTAGCTTCCTTAGATCAAAATTATGTCAAAAGTCCTCAAAATACCATTTTCCATGTATATATACTAAGTAGGGTCGGGCCCAAATAAATACACATTCTCCTATGCGAAATAGGATATTTTTCGGAGTTGGACGTGTGCGGCCTACTGCTGCTGCTACTGCTACTCCTACTGCTACTGCTACTCCTACTGCTACTGCTACTCCTACTCCTACTCCTACTGCTACTCCTACTACTACTGCTACTACTACTGTTATTACTACTACTGCTGCTACTACTGCTACTGCTATTGCTACTGCTATTGCTACTACTACTACTGCTACTGCTACTGCTGCTGTTGCTGCTACTGCTACTGTGGCTGATGCTGATGCTGATGCTGCTACTGCTACTACTACTACTACTGCTACTCCTACTGCTACTGCTACTGGTGCTGCTACTACTGTTCTACTGCTGCTACTACTGCTACTACTATTGCTACTACTACTACTACTGCTGCTGCTATGCCGCTGCTGCTACCGCTACTGCTACTGCTGTCGCTGCCGCCGCTGCCACTACTGCTACTGCTATTGTTACTGCTACTGCTGCTGCTGCTACTACTACTGTTGCTACTACTGCTACTCTGCTACTAGTGCTACTACTACTGCTACTACTGCTGCTGCTACTGTCGCTGCTGCTACGGCTGCTGCTGCAGCCGCTGCCGCTACCTCTGCTACTACTGCTACTGCTACTACTGCTACTGCTACTACTGCTACTGCTGATGCTGCTGCCGCTACTGCTGCTACCGCTCCTCCTGCTGCCGCTACCGCCTGCTGCTGCTGCTGCTGCTTCTAGTGCTGCTGCTACTTCCTAAAAACAAAAACAGACTCGTTGGGATGAGTCACCCAGTTCAAACAAATACTACCTTTGGAAAGAACCATGGCGTTAAGAAAACCAAAGGCTTATTATCTTCAAAAGTATAAAAGAAGCTACTGACGAGCTAAAAACACAATACAAAATTATGCTCGCTAGTCGAATATAGTATAGAAAATATCGTATCCACAAGGATTGGATTTGAACAGTGTTTTTGTAGCTTCTAATTTTAATTGCTATCCAAGATGATCAACAATTTAGAGTTGTGTGATTCAAAACTAAAATTTACTAAAAGTCTAAACTATTGGCTAATGACAATCGCAACAAGAGTAATCAAGAAGATATCAAAGGGAGAAAATAGGGTTTGATTGGATAGGTGTAAGATACTTGTTTGTGAATTAACTCTAGTTACTTCACTTCTATGGTTCAAGTGAGTCTCTCGAATTCACTCTATTATGATCAAACATTCAGCAGAAACTCCTCTCTCGATTAAGTCTCAACCTTACAATGTGAACTAAGTTATGCTTGGTAAAGATATGCAAGAATTCGTAGTGGATTGATCCTTAGGAGAACCTCTTTCGATTATCCTCCTAACTAGGTCTAAACATTAATTCAACTAGCCTATTTTGATTACTAACAAGAATCAATGAATTCAACTAATAAGATAATGCAAAACATCACAAATTTTGCCTCTTTCGATTACATAAACAAGTGAATATACATGCAACAATAAAAATAACCAAAACGTTTCAATACATAAAATTAGTGTTAATATCCACAAACAATTCTCAAAACACCAAATCCATCAATCCCTAAGAAAGAATTACTCCGTGGATATGGAAATATTCATCACAATTAAGTTGAAGTCAAAGGAAAACATAAAACATCCAAACCCTTGTCTTGCGTGAGGATGAATGGTGAAATCCTTGTGCTCTTGCTTCTCCCTCTTCTCCTTAGCTTCCTTAGATCAAAATTATGTCAAAAGTCCTCAAAATACCATTTTCCATGTATATATACCAAGTAGAGTCGGGCCCAAATAAATACACATTCTCCTATGCGAAATAGGACATTTTTCGGAGTTGGACGAGTGCGGCCTACTGCTACTGCTACTGCTACTCCTACTGCTACTCCTACTGCTACTCCTACTGCTATTACTACTACTGCTGCTGCTACTGCTATTGCTAGTGCTACTACTGCTACTGCTACTGCTACTGCTACTACTACTACTGCTGCTACTGCTACTGCTATTGGTGCTGCTACTACTGCTGCTACTGCTACTACTGCTACTGCTGCTACTACTGCTACTACTACTGCTACTACTACTACTGCTATGCCGCTGCTGCTACCGCTACTGCTACTGCTGCCGCTGCCGCCGCTGCCACTACTGCTACTGCTACTGCTGTTGCTGCTGCTACTACTACTGTTGCTACTACTGCTACTCTGCTACTACTGCTACTACTGCTGCTACTACTGCTCCTACTGCTGCTGCTGCTCCTACTGCTACTGCCGCTGCTGCTACTGTTGCT